CTTCACATTTGTATTCACCAGCATTTTTCCTGCTGATGTTTGTAAGATAACGCACGACTCCACTGGACTGACTACGGCTGCTTACTTCTGTCCATGTTACAGTCAGCACAGGACCTCCAGAAACATTACAGGTTAAAGTCCTGTTTTCGCCCTCAATCACTGTGATGTTCTCCAATGGATAAACTATAGAGGGCACTGAGCAGAAAAAAAGATAACAAAAGATTACAAGTGTAAAACTACATGTTTATGAACCTAGACACTCGTCAAATTTTCATTTTCCTTAATGCATTTTCATAACCCAAAAGCATTCCTATAAGAAATAAGGAGATTGTACTGCTTTAGCTCGTCTCATAAGTAGAAAGTTATTCTTTATGGATTCACGGTTAGTACTTTTACTAGTACATCATTAGATCCAGTAAAAAACAGAGAAATGAATTCAAAGTAAATGTAATATCAAAATTTGTGCCTATGACTTTTGAGATAACATGTAACCTTTCCAAGGACTAAGACATGTTTTAATTTCTCTTTCCTTCATCAGGGTTTTCAGTAAGTACTGGCTTCTAGCTAAATATACTGGCTAAGAAAAATGTGACTTCTAGTAAGTACTGTACAAGCGCTGAGATTGGGAAAGCTGTGCGCTATGGGAATATAGCATGCAAATAAAGGAAATGGCATATAATTAAGAAAAACCACCAAAACAGGGCCTAAGCTGCGCCCGAGTTATCGTGAGTGAAAATAAATGTATCTTTTGAACTAAAATTTCAACAAAAATCACCAATAGGGCACTTCCGAGTTCTCGCGGTTCAATGATCTAGAGCCAAAATTACCGCGCAAAAACGAGGCTAAGTGTGAAGTCGCTCTCATCCGTGTTAATAATTAAGTACCGCGGTGGTGAAAATGAGAGAAAATTTGTCAAAATTCATTGTGGGAGGGTGAAAAATTATTTGTGTGAGAGAGGCACTCAGCTAAGTAATGGCAGCAAAGGGAAAAAAAGAGAACTTTTCGATTTATGCCAGAAAGCTGCAACAATGAAGCAGATCAAAATAG